GTTGCGCAGAATCGCCAAAAGTGGCTATATAATGTGACGACACGAAAGAAACATACCTTGGCACTATCGTCTTACTGGTAAAAGCCGTAACGTACTTACCGAAAGAGGAAAAAGCAGTTAACAGTTAACGGTAACAGGAAAGAAACATACCTTGGCACTATCGTCTTACTGGTAAAAGCCGTAATGTACTTACCGAAAGAGGAAAGAGCAGTTAACAGTTCACTTTTGTCAATGTTGCCTGAGCTGTCAGTGTCGAAGCGTCGAAAAGTGTTCGTCCACTCGGTTATGTAGTTCCATAAGGCATAAAATTCTTCGAAATTGATCATACCATCGCCGCTACGATCGAACATACCTAAAAATAAAAAAACGTACACAATTCGTCAGGTTAACAGTTGAAATTCCATTTAAACTGACTAGAAACAAATGTAAATTCATAGAAGATGTCTGTCGATAATCATTAACAAACATGCTTCATACCGGAAAGACAACGTTTCAACACAACGCCGTACTACACGGCTCAAAAGCACCGTTTGAAAATAGGCCTGTTCAGTTACACACATACCTAGAGCCAAGTCCTTCTGGGTCTCTAGCCAATTACAGAAAATCAATGCTTCACAGCCCTACCCACAAACGTGAATGACATCCTCTCTTTCTGGACCGCCTGGACCTCCTTTCTGGACTGCATGCGATCATGCCTTTTCTGATCCGATTGAGTGCACTCTGTACACTTCAAAGTACAGTCGATTAACATTTGGGATGCTTAGGAACTTTGCTTCACTCCGGTTCACATCTGCGTGATTGACCTTCATCGTCCTGTAATGACTCACCACCCAGACTCGTAATGCTAGAGCCTTACTCTGATTTAGACTTCGGTTTGCTCAAATGCACCGTTCTCAGTCAATTCCGTTTACCATATCCTGCCTTTCTCTAACATTCAGATACACATTTTTTGCACCCCGCCCCATGTTAATCAACGCCATAGAATGTTCCACTTCTTGGGGATGACGTAGCAATCGTACGTGCTACTCCGATGAGTCATTGTTTACTTGGAAAGAAATCGATTTTGATTTACGACCGAAAGTTTCTAATAAACAAAGCGAACTGTGGTGAAAGGCACTTTTTAGTGCCTCAGGTAAGAATAAATTTCGTTGTCAAAAATGGTGGAAGTTTGCAACCTTGTCACGTATCAGTACTTAAATAGAGATTTTGTCGTAATTTTACAGAAGATCTTAAAATAGCAATGGCTTTTGCAACTCGTTCAACTTCAAGGCACAGAAGAAATGATGTCAACCTTCGTGCGATCTCGCACGTTAGACTGAGCAGCAATCAGTGTTAGCTTAATGACGATCGCTATATGAAAGACTTTCAACGACGAACGATACGATAAACGTTATAACCCGTATGTGGGTAGACGTCTTGACAAAAAATTTTATCACGCTCTCTTCGAGGATAGATAAACAGGAACGAACGACTGCCTTAATGCCTCCATCCGGGGTTTTTTTTTGCTTTGCTGTTCGCTAAATGCATATAGGAACAATGGTAATGAATTATAAAGCTTTTTCAAAGAGGTTCGAATTCAAATTAACGCTCAAAACTCTACCACTACGATAAAACTGTAAATAGACGAACAAAAGAAATAAAAAACCACCTTTTTGGAATCGACGGCACCAGATAACAAGATAAATTTGGAAAGAGAACGAAAAATACTTTTCTAAAAACAGAAAGCGAATGAGTGAAAGGTTTCAACAGGAGGTACTGACTTTCAAAATGTCAGCCAATAAGGATCGGCTATATCAGACGAAAGCGCTAAACGTATACCACCAAGTATCGATATGTATTGTATGTATGTATGTACATGCAATTTAAAGCTTCACATTAACTTCAGCAGTGGAAATGTCGAAACTTAGTCGTATGCCTCTAAACAAACTCACGTACGCTGCATATACCAAGTTACAATTGGCGGCGAATAAGGGTATCGTTTCATATGGAAGCCGTGTGACGTGGCCGCCTTGTATTCTTGTTATCACTGTCGTCAGACAAGGATAATCGCAAGTTTGTGCCGTTGTGATTCGTATCTAGGCGAATAATCGGAAGCGTAAATCAGAGGGATTAAGGACTGAGAAACGCGCTTAACGCAGGTCTATAGCTTCGACCATTATTCATTACAACAAAGAAAGCGGCATGCTACACTGCCATCATTTCCGGTACGTCGTTCAATTAGGCACCAAAGCGTACGATCAAACACGCTGAACGAACGGTCAACAGAACAACGAACGTACCGATCATCAGACGAACCGTTTCAGGGTTGAATGGCGCCCATGTTCCGTTCGACAGCGCACTCTGCAGCTCGTCGCAAGATATTTTGCCACTGCGATCACGGTCGATCCTTCAAAGTTTGACAAAAATCAAAATCGAGTAACGACACAAGACAGCTACAGCCACATATACCTCTGAAACACTCCCCATAGCCAGTTACGGTCTACTTGCTGAAAGCCGGGCTGTTGCATCTACGCTTTTCCTTATTTTATCAGTTATACCTACCCGGGACGAATTAACTCAAATCCACAAACGCTCAAATATATAACGCAGAGACGATAGTAAGCAGACACGGTTAGGATACCATCATTCACATCTAACTATTACTATTACATACTCTTGAATTTCAATACATTGAATGCCATAACTGTTCGAGCTGAAATGAAATCGGCTATCGTGAAAGCTATAGAATGCCCAGGAGTATCGTTTCTCTTTCTGAAAAAATTCCCGCAGAAAGAATTTCTGCTGATGAAATCGAAGAAAAGTTGCCAGAGTGGCTTTACGTAAATTCCAAACTTTGTTAGGGTGACGTGCTTCCGAATTTGCTAATCAACCTTTCTCGAAACATTTTTTTCTGAAATAATATGGCTAGCGTAAGGATATATGATTTATTCCAGAAGGAAGGCGCAGTTCAAAATATCGGGAATATTCAGATAATCTTATCCTGGTAAGTATACGAGGAGCGAGCTTCTTCCCTTAGGCATTTAATACAACATACCTGCAAATCCTAGCCTTTACCTTAATCTCCGGAATTCTAAAGCTGTTAAAAACCCATTTGACACAGCAGATCGCTAAGTGAACTGGGAAATGAAATGAGGGAGGAGGTTTCCAGTATCACGGCTAAACCATCGTCGGCGACAGCACTACCCAGTCGGAGTTAAAATTTGGACTGCCATTGTATTCCTCGTTTTCGTACTCTGTCCTACATTTTTGATGAGAAAGGAGTAACTTCTACTACAGAAATCGGCCTATAAGCAATTGCAAATGTTACACACCATTTTAACAGTTATTCGAACAAAGACTAAGAACAAATACGTGACAGCGCATAACTGCTTTGACTGGGACTCATGATTACGGTTGAATGGCAGAATCATGTAAATGCTGATTATCTTTAAGGCAGAGGTGACCTCAGTAAATGTTGAGATTAAGAAAAGGAGAGTGTCTCTGTTAAATTCGTAGGCCATAAACCACGAGCTCTTGTGTGAGAGCGATGCACGACAAATGTCAACCAGGTGATCAGCATTCAGCATATGAGAATAAGAGGGATGCACAATTGCTCATCTTAATGTTGGAATGTTGGAAACGGCGTCTTATAGCAAAAGTGCTGAAAAACTCCCATTACGGCTGACATAACTAATCAGATACATTCAGTTTGTACAAACGGCTCAATGTAGCAATCTCAAGAAACAAACAATGTTGGAGCAGATACACAGTTCCGGTGAAGACATGGGTAAAACGATTTTTTATAGATTGATCCCATGCAATTGTCATAACGATTCATAAGGAAAGTGACCTACAAAATTTCCTCAAGATAGTTGAGCATTTACTTTACCTTTGAGTTGATTGAGCAACAGATGCAAAATTTTCCTTAATTAAGTTGTATAACCACTGTGATTACTTTCAGTTTGCAAGGAAACATTTAAAAAAAGATTCTACTGGTGGTCTGTTTCTTCTCACAATTATCTAAGCAATGCTGATTTGATTTTAAAACTTATCAGTGGCAAGCGATAACTATATTTCAGCCATCTGGCCTTACGTCCATAAGTTAGTCACATGCCACGTGACGTTCAGAGTCCGTGTTGCGAGGATTCCTTCAGGAAATTAATATGGCGTCCATCTCGACGTCATTGTGGTCTCTTAATTTTTCGAACAGAACTTCACTGTTATGCAGAATTCGTATGCCTATATTGTATTACTGGATGCTAATATAAATGAAATCTTACCTTAAACTGCAGATAATTTGCAATGGAACTGACTTCGCAGTCAAAGCAAAATTGTAAACTTTCGCGTCATTTCATAACATGCTGTCTTGTTTAAAGTGAAATGAAACAAGGAACCGCCAGAACGTGAGTCACAGAACTGAGGTTTTCAAACCAGAATGGCAGCAGTTCCTCCAAACAATTATGAGCTGTTTATTTGCGATCGTTTCTGTTGTCTGTGTCTCAGAGCCAATGGTTCACGTTTGAATAAGAAAACTTAGTCATACAATTCACGATTATTGACTTCGAAAGAGCATGTCCAAAGAACGGCTTCAGTAACAAAGGTGCTGGTGTGATTCGTTGATTCACCACGTACCTATCGAAAATGTAGCGAGCTTACCGGCAGGTCGATGACGGATTCCAGCTTCTGTCGATCCATCGATGTCGGGCAAATAGACTAATTGTAATCTTGAAAATTGCATATCCGCGATTGCTTAACTGTCGGTCGTAGTCAGCCAGATTTCCGAAATGAACTAGTTGCGTGAAAATGGCTCTTTTCAATTTGGCTGCAGTGGACTTAACTAAGTGGCGTATTTATCGAGGTTGGTCGTCGATTTGGACTGATGCTACCTCAGCTACCATGGTAACTAGCAGGAACTGAGGGCGCCAAACGACCGCTTAATCGTTACCGACTCGGCTCGCCCAGTGAGCAACATCGAACTTGCTAGCGTTCGCTGGAGCTATTGGAAAGGAGTGTCAGGTGCTACGGTTCTGTTAATCGTCGGTAGTCACCGCTGGTCGCCTCCTCAGCGAACAGGTAGTTATTGAAATCGTCAAAAAGCGTTACTGCGAGCAGTGAAACGAAAAGTACATGAAGATCTTAATGCTTCGCGCATCGATGACTAGTTTCGCGGAACGGATGGTCCGTCGCATGCAGAACGTGCCGAACATCATTGCTAATCTGCAGCGAAGAGCCAGCTTAGCGTGGATGCGTACTTTTCTTCTCAAGCTTCTGGCATATCTTCCACGTCAAAGTGTAGAAAAAAGGTAAAGACCTCCTCTTTATCCGATTTGCTCTGGCCCATTGAGTAACGTTGGTGACACAAACGGCAAAATCCACCTTCTTTTCGGTCTCATCAAGTCACGTCTTTTCTTAGATGCTAAACGCCTCGTTTAAGTGAACCGAAAAAAGTAGGAATAAATGGAAAAATAACCAAAGTTGGAGAGGAGCACAACAAAAAGAAAACGGATAAGAAAAAACAAATAACGAAGGACATTCAGCAAACAATGCTGCGTACATGGATTGCTATCAGTTTGAACCTTTAAGTGAAGGTTCCCATCAATAACTGTGCTTGGCGGTTATAAGGATTTTTGAAAAGACAAATCGGGGAAATTTTACAGATGCGGGAAATCTGGAAAACAACGCGCCGAAACTTCAGGTCGTTCCTTTCTCTGAAAACGGGCATGAACTTCCAGACCGAAATATATGACTAATAACAGCCCTTAAGGAATGACGAAGAGAGTGGCCATCTCCCGGTAAGATGATATCGAGAGTCGCAACCGTGTGAGCAAGGAGAAAAGTGTGCTTCCATCAGTATCGTCGTAAACACTGAACGTATAGGACCAGTTCGTTCGCCCTCGCAATCAGCATCTACGCAGCCAGCCGTAGTCGCACTCACTAGACATTTTTTCATGATGCAGGCCAACGGAGCACTCTTCCCGTTGTTTCTAGCCCGTTATCTCATTTTATGTGGCGCAGTTTGCATCCTCGACGAATTTATAATAAGCCGAATAGCCGAGATAGGATTAATGTCGTCTGTATATCTGACGCATAATAAATTACTACCTGTTGGAGACGGAAGCCTCCACCACGGGGCGGTGCAGTCCCCCTCAGATCAACCCCCGCTTGTTTTAAGCGTCTGCACAGGGCGCTACCTGCCATGATATTGAAGGCTGATAGCTGGTAAATATACTGTCAATCAGCAGATTCACAACAGCAGATCTAACACAATCTGCTGCTGCGATGAGGCAGCACAGCGCTGCGGATTTTACACGATGAAAGCTAATCGTCACGACTAAAATTTCATCCGAATTATGGAATATGGAGGAATGCTTAATGGCGTCACGTGTTCGTTACGTCACTTCGCTTTGGTCAGCTTTTCGTCAAGCAACAGTATTTTTCAAGTAGCCTTGCCAGTGGTTGAATCTACACTCCTTTCAGCAGTGATATGATTGACTGCGACCATTCATTCGTCAGATTCTTCGCTTATTTCGATTAAGTCATTCATCCGAGAACTGTGAACAACCCCTGTGCGCTTTCAACGGCCATAGACTATTCCTCGACCAAACTCTGAACTCAAAATTATGTGCATAATTAAGCAAGACAAAAAGCAGACACGTATGTTGTCAAAAATCCATTCATTCACAAGTTCCATCTTTCGTATAAAAGGCAAACGGTTTAAATGAAAAACTCTACTCGATT